GGAGTGGTCTCTCGGCTATTTTAGCCGATAGCCATCACTAAATTCATGAAAAACAATTTTCTGTCATGCAGTGACACTAAGACATCACTGTAGTTGAGTGGTTTTGATAAGTTGCATTTACAGTTTAGTGAGAAACATGGGCTTGTGCTTCACTGAGGATTCTCAGTCCTTCAGTCAATATGAAAACTGGCTTGCAGCTCACAGTGGTGGTGACGGTGTTGGTTGTAAAAAAAAATTCACATACCCTCTGCAGTACTCCAAAGTACACCTCGGGGTACTAGTACCCCATTTGAGAAGGACTTGGTGAAGGCTAATAGGGCACCCAGGCAAATAATGGAAGACTAATTAACACACTTCTTTTTATGTTTTTTCAGATGTTCACATTCTGAGACCAGAGTAGCTTCCCTGCTATGTGCTAATTGGTGCAAATGATCAATTAAAGGTCCAATTGTTTACCTGCACATGCATTTTCACTTACACTGTCTAATTTGACCTGTTCTCAGGACAATGTAGACACATGCAGACTGTGCTTGGCAGTCTTCTATTAGTTTTGTTACAGTTCCCAGGGTGGTGCTCCTTTCATCTTTATCACAATTACTGGCACATATAGTTTAGTGACCTCACATTATTCTGAGCATTTCATATCCTGTAGAAAAAGCACAGGCATAAATAATACAAATAATAATAAGATGAATTGAATTATTATTTTTTTTAAATATATATTTCCTGCCTCACCCAACAACACTGTTAGAAAATAATCCAAAACACTTATGCAGCTAAATCTTGAGATTTTCACTTACATCACTGACCCTTCTTGTCCATTTTGTCAGCTCACATCTGCCCTGGATTTTTAAGCCTTTTCAAAATTTCCACTTCCCTGCCATCCCTCCCAGTGCAACTTGGGGGAAATAGAAAGAGAGTGAGCACATAATGTGTTTGTACTGTACAGGATATAGCATGTGTGGGTGTGAGTGCATGTATGTGGGACAGCGATGAAGACAGGCAGGCTAGGGGGGGGCCCAAGGGTGGACGTGGGCTCTTGACGTGCCAGGCAGTAATATTTTTCCTCAGGTTAAGTTGCGCTCACCGGGAGGGTGTGTTACTGCTGGAAAGCTCTGTAATGAACAGAAGGCTGGCTTGATGCCTGATGAAATTCCACCGCAGCTTCATATCTATCTTGCCTTCCAAAAATGTTCAGCATACCAGTGGGTTTTATTGACTTGTTAGAGCAGACAGCAGAGTGCAAGCTCTGCCTTGTGAGGTGCACAGGTGAACAGGTTTCTGCAGCCAGAATGTCTGACTTTTTAAAAAGTGCAAAACTTTTACTGTTTTTAACCAAAAGTGATGAGTGTTGATTAGAGCTACAACACATACTAGGAGAGTAGTGTTTCAGAATACAGACATCAGATGTTCATTGTATTTATCCAAACTGGACTTAATCATGTTGGCACATGTTCATTCAAAATGAATTAGATGTGAGGTAGCGTCAGTTTGTGTCTCTCATGTATTAACAGAACATACAGTATGATTCACAGAGCTAAGCATCTGGGGAAAAAAGAGCTGTCACACTAAAAGTTTCAGAATGAAGTATAATATTTCCTGATTTCAGAAAAACTTCAAACTATCTGTATGAAACAAAACATAAATTTGCTGCACAATTAAATTTTTTCTACCCAGTAGTGCAAACTGCAGCTCGGACTCCTTAGTTAGAAAGAATTGAGCTTGCTGACTACTGTGGCAGCTCCTTATCCTTATGTTACTTTTTTCATGAACAATACCTTGATATTTTTTTATGTGCTGCACAAAATCATTACAATTTCCTGAATGGGACATACTGCA